AACAGGCAAAATAATGCGATGGATATTAAATTTTCTGTCAAACAGAACGCAAAAAGTAACAGTCAATCAAATCAAATAGAGTCCATGTACAGTGAAAAGCTGTATACGTTGATGGTCAGTCTTTACTCCACTGGTTTTCTTTGTTCTCATATCAGATATAGACAAAAATAAAACCACAGCTTCATGTCATCTTTTGCAGAGACACACAAATCCTCATGAAAGTTACCTCTGTAAAAGACATTGAAAAACTACAAGGATATTAATAGTTTTCGATTATTTTCGGCAGCAGAAAATAACATGATGTTTACCAGTGATAAATTTCAGGTATTCATTTATAGTAAGAATTAAGACAAACAAAATACAGGGTTCAAAGCACAATCAATCTGTCCATAGTAGGAAATAGCATGTAAAGTATCTGGGAGTAATGATGTCTGACGACCTAGAGTTTAGGGAGCATAACCAAGCAAATATTGTCAGCTTAAACAATTATAGGATGGATTACGAGAGCTTTCAAATCCAGGGATTCCATCACAATGCTAATAATATTCAGATCACTTGTGCTGTTCCGTCGTGAGTACTGCTCGATACGTCACCCTTCACAGCAGGAGACATTGCTGAAATAGAGACAATTCAGAGAACATATACAGCACACATAGACGCGTTAAGGCACCTAAACTATTGAGATCGTCTCAAACCTCTCGAAAGGAGACGAGAAGGTTGCCAAATTATATATACATGGAAAATATATATATGGCAGACAAAATTTATATACATGGCAGACGATCACAAATTTGCTCAGTAAAATAACAACATTCTGGAGTGAACGATATGGAAGTTAATGGAAAATAGAGGAGTGAAGAATAGAGGTGACAGAGGCACAATCAGAGAACACTCTGAAATTTAGAGGTTCATATCCTCTTGGATATGAACCAGGTTCATATCCAAGAGGAGAGCTTGGTCCCAGGTTCATATCCTGGGTGTTCATATCCTCTCAGCTAGTATAAGAAATTTTGCCGGATCAAACTTTGGAATCAAGAAAAATTGGACAGTTTTCTGCAAGAAGTGCCTGACCAACCGGGCTGTAGTGGTTACGTGGGGCAAGCGGCCCGCCCCCCCAAGCAACAACCTGGTGGACCAAGCTCTCTCAAGTCAAGCCTGGCCCCGGGCCGGGCTTGGGGAGTAGAACTCTCGGAACCCCATCTAGGTACAATCCAGGCATACAGTGAATGAATATATAATCGACTTTCCTGCTTCTACGTTTAGACTACAGCACGTATTACATAATAAATACGAAAATACTACAAAAGTCTCGCTTTAGACTACTAGCGGTTGGTGGTGGCACTAATTGCCTTGTTCCCGTAGTCTGTTGACCACACCACACATCTGTTACGGCCCTCTCGGGACGCAACGGGGTTCTTACTCTGATGTAGTTAGAGGAAGATATATATCCGGCCCCAAGCCAGTAGAGGCTTTCAAGGGATGCGATCCGTGACGCAAGTAACTAAAAGGGAAGGGAAATAAAGGCAAAAACTTAATATAATATAATAGTACCATCACCATAAATATATATAATAGTAAAACGTACACAAGGGGGAGGGGTATTAACACTTTACAAAAGGGGATCAACACTGTAGTCTTCTGCTGGAGACTATGGATCCTCGAAGCTAGGTGCTGAGTCCGCGGTGCATTCTTCGTGGCCTCAAGACGTGTCCTCTGAGAACACCGAGTCTACCCTGGCCACAGGTCAGCCACAACACAGGTCCACTGGGGGCACCGTCGTGGAGGCCGTCAACCACACGTCCAGCAGGTCTGCTGGCAGGTACAGAGCCACCAAGGCTGGTACGGCCACTCCACGAACGATAAAAGGGGTACGCCCTAGACAGGAGTCTCGTGTGATATCACCAATCACCCTCCTGTCCTCAATACCCCAGTGGATTATCGTCTCCAACCGTCGGTCCCGGGTAAATCCTTCCACTGCCACTCCACTGGCAGGCTTAACACACCACTGTGTTCTTCCGGGGGGACGACGTCACAACAGCTGCAGCAAACTTCACAGTATGGAGACTGGCTGCCTCGGGTAGACTGACTCCACCTTCAACACAGTGGTCCCAGGTCGGCTCTGTAAGCAGACACGTCATTAATAACCGGGACACTAATACACCACACTCACAGGCTCAGATACAAACGCCCGACATATCCACTCCATAGATGGCGCTGTCGTCGGAGCACCACCTCACCAGAGGTCAGGAGCGGCGGTGTTGAGCGCTGAACCAGACTGGAAACTGGTCCTCGAGGCCAGTACACGCTGTCCTCACTAGGTGTCGTCGTTCGTTTGGCGGGGGTTTCGGGAGCTGACCCACAGATGGCGTGTTTGTCACTGCTCCAGGCTCGGACGTTGAATCCGGGTTCGTAACAACATCACAAGCTGAAGAAACGACGCTTGGGTCCATCCTGGACCATTGTCAAGTCCTGTGGGAGCACTCACACACACGACCTGATGGACTTATCCAGTTTGGTCTAGTGGCTAGAAGCGTGTACGTGGGAACACCCCTCCGCCCAGGTTCGAACCCTCACCACGGTTCCTGCGGATTTTCACCTTGATGCAGTCACGTTAGTGTGCTGACTCTCTGTGTCATGCTCCAGGTCGTGGTGATCTTCTGACGTCTGAATTAGTCATCGTGTCTTCAATTCTAGTCTCTTCAATTAACAGAATTATCTGGTCCTTCTGTACTAAAGCAATTTCATAATTAACATGATACATCATGAAGCCTTGGTCACTTAAGCCTGAGTGACCAATGAATCTATGTTAGCTTGAGAGATAGTCCCAAGAGATAGTCCCAAGAGATAGTCCCCAAGAGATAGTCCCCAAGAGATAGTCCCCAAGAGATAGTCCCCAAGAGATAGTCCCCAAGAGATAGTCCCCAAGAGATAGTCCCCAAGAGATAGTCCCCAAGAGATAGTCCCAGGGAGTGGGATGGTAGGCGGTGTTGTGCTTCCAAATGGCCAGGTTAGTTATACAACTTTAAGGTGGAGTGTATAAGCCAGCGTCTGGCTGGGAGATCTGGAAGCGATGCTGGTTGTCAGGTGAGATGGTGGTTGTCAGGTGAGATGGTGGTTGTCAGGTGAGATGGTGGTTGTCAGGTGAGATGGTGGTTGTCAGGTGAGATGGTGGTTGTCAGGTGAGATGGTGGATGTCAGGTGAGATGGTGGTTGTCAGGTGAGATGGTGGTTGTCAGGTGAGATGGTGGTTGTCAGGTGAGATGGTGGTTGTCAGGTGAGATGGTGGTTGTCAGGTGAGATGGTGGTTGTCAGGTGAGATGGTGGATGTCAGGTGAGATGGTGGTTGTCAGGTGAGATGGTGGATGTCAGGTGAGATGGTGGTAGTGACCGGATGTCGGAGGGTAAAAGAGAAGGCTGTGAAGTGAGACTCCCGAGATGTGAAGGGGCTGAGAGGAAAAAGGGCCATGGCAACTGAGCAAGAAAGGGACCGTTGCCATATCTTCAATGTGTAAAGTGTGGGGTGTAGAGCGGCTCAAGTGTTGTGTAGATGGTGTTGTTGTGGTCCGAGGGTGTTGTTAGTGTTGTATGATGGGGTTGTGTCTGGGGGGAGGGGGTGAAGATGTGTGTCTCAGTGCTATGTTGTTAGTGTCTTAACCTGTTGATCTTCCCCCCCCCTCTCTCCCCCCCTCTCTCTCTCTCTCTCTCTCTCTCTCTCTCTCTCTCTCTCTCTCTTAGCCGTGGTCGATCCGGTCTCTCTGCAGTTCTATCTCTCTCTGGGTTTGTGAGTCTGTCTCTGTTTCTCTGTCTTTCTCTCATTTTGTCTGTCCGTGTGTCTGTTTCTTTGCTTTTCGCTATCTGTTCCTTTCTCTTACCAAAATACCATAATAGTGTACCACTGGCATGGTCCGCTTACTTGCTCGCTTTGAGACAGAGTCTGGGGGCTGAGAAAGCCTTTGAAGGTGTGGGAGGAACATTTGTTTTATGTTAGTATGGCAAAAGTATGAATAGCAGAAAATTTATATTCTCCCAAGATCAGTGAATAATGTTATATATTAATATAAGACAAAAATTAGTTTCGAGATTTTTGTTTTCAAAATTTTAAGGTAGGTGTAGATGGCGGCCAGTGCCAAAAATCGTCGTGGAGGTAGGAACGTGACCCTGGCACGCTGTTCCTTTCTTAAATTCTGGCCAGCTCGACCAGCCTATGTCTGTCCCGTACCCCAGACCATTCACCCTGCGAAGTTGGGTGAGGCTAGACCTAAATGTGTCTTAACTACAACCTTGAACAGGCAAACACCATATTCCCTCATAGATAAAGATGGTTGGGGTGTTGTACATTTGCATATGTCATTTAATAAGTTAATATTATAATTTGTTTGAAGGGAGCGTTTGATCTTACGTTGTGTGATGGTGTGTGACTAACAGTGTGTGGTGGTGTGTGACTAACAGTGTGTGGTGGTGTATGACTAACAGTGTGTGGTGGTGTGTGACTAACAACCAATAGGGTAAGAGTCTGTGTGACACCTTGTCACTCAACTTCCAGTACATTACTGATTACTGACTGTAATCATCTAGAGTTTTAAATTTACGATAATTTCCAAAATTTAACCTTTCTAGAAATTATCTTCAGTCTCTCGAGTGTAAGAAAACATTGCATCCTGTGGAAGAGTTAAACATTAAGTAATATTTAACTTTATGATGTATAAGTCTACGGGAAATGGTCTTCTGGTTTCAATATCAACTTTTATGTCAATAATTTTCCTTCTATTAATTATTCTATTATCCTTCTATTAATTAAAGTGCTCTATGTATATAAAAAATTGCTTTGTTCATACAAGATAATTTTGTGTGCTTTAAAGCAAAATTATTTTTAAATGCAAACTGAAGGACTATTGCAAAGATGTATTCGTGAAGAATTTGTGTTATTTTCAGGAGAAAAGCGACTTGTGATTGTGGGTGATTGTACTGATGTGATTTTCATTGTCTTTTACCCCAACTAGGAGCAAACGAGACAGTGGTGTATATCCCCAGAGGCAAGCCAGGTATGGTCAGACGTGTGCCCCCCCCTCTCTTACACCCTAATACACTAATACACTCACACCATACACCCCTCTCATACACCCTAATACACTAATACACTCACACCATACACTCCTCTCTTACATCCTCACTAATACACTTACACCATACATCCCTCTCTCTCATACACCCTCACTAATACACTAACACCGCACACCCCCTCTCTAATACACCCTAACACACTAATACACTCACACCATACACCCCTCTTATACACCCCCCTCACTAATACACTCACACCATACACCCACTCTCTCACTTTCCCTCTCACTAATGCACCCACACCACAGGTGTTCCCTAACACCTGTACCACACCTATACGAGACCCACACCTCCACTACACTACCACAACACCCCCACCACACCCCCACCACACCATACCCCGAACACACTCCCCCACCACACCCACACCACACACACATCCCCTCCCCCCTCTCTCCCCGCGACACTTCTACACCCACACCAGACCCCCTTCCCCTCCACCCCCGCCCCCCCACGCCAGACCCCACCACATCTGTTCCACACCTGTCCACAGACCACATCCGTTCCACATCTGTCCCGACTATGACGCTGTGTGACGCGCCGTTGGCACTACTGACTCCAGGTATCTGGTCTCTCTCTCTCTCTCTCTCTTATTCTCACTCTCATTCTCATTCCTTCTCTCACTCTCCCTCATCGTTACCACTGCTTCCTCTACCCTCTCCCTCACTCCCCAACCATCTACTCGTCGAATCCATGTTAAACTTACACCTCTAAGTCTCAGTCCATGCATTTCATTAGATGTGTGTGTGTGTGTGTGTGTGTGCATTATATATATATATATATATATATATATATATATATATATATATATATATATATATATATATATATATATATATATATATATATATATATATAATTGGTTTGTATGTAAATGACCTTATAACCTGTGGTGATGTTACAGTGAGGCTAATATAATGTTTTCCGACTTTTTGAAGAGCTGTCAGCCTACTACCAGTCCCCTGGTCTTGCCCCTAACATTAACCCTACTACCAGTCCCCTGGTCTTGCCCCTAACATTAACCCTACTACCAGTCCCCTGGTCTTGTCCCTAACATTAACCCTACTACCAGTCCCCTGGTCTTGCCCCTAACATTAACCCTACTACCAGTCCCCTGGTCTTGTCCCTAACATTAACCCTACTACCAGTCCCCTGGTCTTGTCCCTAACATTAACCCTACTACCAGTCCCCTGGTCTTGCCCCTAACATTAACCCTACTACCAGTCCCCTGGTCTTGCCCCTAACATTAACCCTACTACCAGTCCCCTGGTCTTGTCCCTAACATTAACCCTACTACCAGTCCCCTGGTCTTGCCCCTAACATTAACCCTACTACCAGTCCCCTGGTCTTGTCCCTAACATTAACCCTACTACCAGTCCCCTGGTCTTGCCCCTAACATTAACCCTACTACCAGTCCCCTGGTCTTGCCCCTAACATTAACCCTACTACCAGTCCCCTGGTCTTGCCCCTAACATTAACCCTACTACCAGTCCCCTGGTCTTGTCCCTAACATTAACCCTACTACCAGTCCCCTGGTCTTGCCCCTAACATTAACCCTACTACCAGTCCCCTGGTCTTGCCCCTAACATTAACCCTACTACCAGTCCCCTGGTCTTGCCCCTAACATTAACCCTACTACCAGTCCCCTGGTCTTGCCCCTAACATTAACCCTACTACCAGTCCCCTGGTCTTGTCCCTAACATTAACCCTACTACCAGTCCCCTGGTCTTGCCCCTAACATTAACCCTACTACCAGTCCCCTGGTCTTGCCCCTAACATTAACCCTACTACCAGTCCCCTGGTCTTGTCCCTAACATTAACCCTACTACCAGTCCCCTGGTCTTGCCCCTAACATTAACCCTACTACCAGTCCCCTGGTCTTGCCCCTAACATTAACCCTACTACCAGTCCCCTGGTCTTGTCCCTAACATTAACCCTACTACCAGTCCCCTGGTCTTGCCCCTAACCCTTACCCTGACAGAGCCACGCATCATCAACTGGCACTGCAAGAGTCTACAACCTTGCAAGTCACACACGTGAATAAGCTAGTGTGTGGTGTGGTAACTGTGTGTAGCCAGGCAGCTCGGTGTGGAGGTGTGTGGTATACCAGGATGGTGTACCACAAGCCACACGTGGTTCATGGAGACCAGAGGCTCGCTGATGCCTGTGGTGTGTACCGCTCAACACCTCAGGTGTGTTCATGGAGACCAGAGGCTCGCTGATGCCTGTGGTGTGTACCGCTCAACACCTCAGGTGTGTTCATTAGTCTTCAGCTCCCCCAGGGTTGGTTTTCACTAGCGCACATAAAGCTCTAGTTGGTGGCTACATCTTGTGCTTCTGGGTTATAAACGAAATAATATATATATATATATATATATATATATATATATATATATATATATATATATATATATATATATATATATATATATATATATTTCTGAATTCCTGAAGTTCAGAACTCAGGAATTATTATATATAACATACTATTTCCACTGGGCTTATGATCAACACTTTAAACATTATATATATTCTCCATATATATATATATACATATATATATATGTCGTACCTAGTAGCCAGAACGCACTTTTTGGACTACTATTCAAGGCCCGATTTGCCTAATAAGCCAAGTTTTCCTGAATTAATATGTTTTCTCTAATGTTTTTCTTATGAAATGATAAAGCTACCCATTTCATTATGTATGAGGTCAATTTTTTTTTATTGGAGTTAAAATTAAAGTAGATATATGACCGAACCTAACCAACCCTACCTAACCTAACCTAACCTATCTTTATAGGTTAGGTTAGGTTAGGTAGAAGAAAAAGTTAGGTTAGGTTAGGTTAGGTAGGTTAGGTCGTCGAAAAACAATTAATTCATGAAAAGTTGGCTTATGAGGCAAATCAGGCCTTGCATAGTAGGCTGAGAAGTGCGTTCTGGCTACTAGGTACGACATATATATATATATATATATATATATATATATATATATATATATATATATATATATATATATATATATATATATATGTGTGTGTGTGTGTGTGTGTGTGGAGATGTTTACAGTTAGGAATCTTATTACTGAGAACAAACTTCAACATCTAAGTGCTCTGGAATATAAACCTACATATAAAATCTTGAAGAGGTCCGCCCCATCTCAACACACTCCCTGAGTCTCTCTCCGTGCTCCCCTCCTCCCACCACACACATACACAACTCACAGTAACCAGGACGTCTGATACAGACTCATAATCAACTCACTTGCACACTGAGATAATCACTCGCAAACACCTTTACACACAATTATATAATATTCTAATTACTCTTGGATAATATTACCACACTACAAGGTTAATTAGGGAACATAATAGAGTTGTCAATAACGCACAAACTGGCAACACTGCCCGCTCCCTCACTTCCACTAGTCCAGGGTCCAGATTCAGGAAGCAGTTACGCAAGCACTTACGAACGTGTACATCTTTTCTCAATCTTTGACGGCTTTGGTTACATTTATTAAACAGTTTACAAGCATGAAAACTTGCCAATCAACTGTTGTTATTGTTATAAGTAGCCTCTTGGTGCTTCGGAGCTCATTACCTGTTTAATAATTGTAAACACTCAGAAAAGATGTACAGGTTCGTATCTGCTTGCGTGACTGCTTCGTGAATCTGGCCCCCAGACGTGTTCACCCAACAGGCAAGAATGTGATCACCTCCCATACAAGAATACGTTTCATACAATAATACATGAAGTGAACTACAATATACAGTATGTAATGTTATCAAATACAATATGCATTCACATGCACCCATATGTAAATGGAAGAAGGAGGAAAGCAGAATTATACTCGTATGAGAGTCGGGTACTTTCTGGTTCGTAACACCTTACTAGTGGTATATAGTCGTAATGGCTTAGAGTTTTCTCCTGATAGTCTCCTTGTACCCCCCCCCGTCCTCTCAGCGCCTTGTGCCCGTCTGGAGTTAGTACACACCTGCCTCACACACCTGCCTCATACACCTGCCTCACACACCTGGCTCACACACCTGCCTCACACACCTTCCTCACACATCTCCCTCACACACCTGCCTCACACACCACACCTCACACACCTCCCTCACACACCTCCCTCACACACCTGCCTCACACACCTGCCTCACACACCTCCCTCACACACCTCCCTCACACACCTGCCTCACACACCTGCCTCACACACCACACCTCACACACCTCCCTCACACACCTGCCTCACACACCTCCCTCACACACCTCCCTCACACACCTGCCTCACACACCACACCTCACACACCTCCCTCACACACCACACCTCACACACCTCCCTCACACACCTGCCTCACACACCTCCCTCACACACCTCCCTCACACACCTCCCTCACACACCTGCCTCACACACCTGCCTCACACACCTCCCTCACACACCTGCCTCACACACCTGCCTCACACACCTGCCTCACACACCACACCTCACACACCTCCCACACACACCTGCCTCACACACCTCCCTCACACACCTGCCTCACACACCTCCCTCACACACCTGCCTCACACACCTGCCTCACACACCACACCTCACACACCTGCCTCACACAAAGTCACAGTGTCAGATGACCACACACAAGGAAGGCGTAAGTCTGCCTTGACTGACGTGTTCTCTCGCAAGGTTTAACTCACGACCATCTCCTGTGGCCGTAACAATCTAATTGTCGCCTTCAGCCGACAGCTTCTCGTGAGATGTTCTTAGACGTCTCAGAACATCTCCCAGATGTTCACATAGACAACACAGAACATCTGTGGCAGTCCTTATTTGTCGGTGTTCTAGTTCTTCTCTCCGCTGAAATAACAAACACAGTATTACCCCGATGTCTTGAGAACAACAACATTGAGTGAAATAAGAACAAGTAAA